CTGTGTTGGATAAGCAATGGAGTTATCTTGAAAACAAATCTAATGCATTATGAATCATTCTATTTTTGGAAAGAATAGTGACGTAATCACAAAGAATAAGAGTTATGAGCGTTATATCTTTCACTGAAAAAAACCCATCAATATAGCTTTGTAAATGATTCTTATCTGACCATAGCCTTTGGTTAATCCAATGAATACAACAAACTCTTCTGTATTGATTTCTTGTTCTCCTTCATTGCGTAAACAGGCATAAAATAATGTATGCTTGCAATTGTTCATAGTGGTCTCTAATTGTACTTTTGTTTGTTTACTTGAGGAATTGGTAAAGCTTAAGAACCAAATTCATTGCTGAAGTAAATGAACTATGCCATCTAAAGTTGCACTAGTGATAAAATTGGTGTTAAATATTTAGTATAGTATACTCTTGGAATATTTCTGTTGATACAGAGACAGATATAGAAAAAAAGGCAACAATTCAGTGAGGCATGCATGACTTCAGAAGAGTTATTATTTAATGAAAAAAAAAATCTGCTTGGGATGAAACAGATCTCATATTATCTGCCTGCTCCTCCTAGATCTTTAAAATATTGTGTGCGGCTGTACTGAGAAATCGTTTAAAGGTGAAACAAAAAAGAAAATTGTATTATTTTACTTATTTCTTCACTATTAATGTTTACTATTCTTATCCTATTATTTCACTTTTTTATGTTTTAAATATTGAAATGGTCCATCTCTTCTAATCTCTTTCAGGCAACTAGTATGCAAGATCAGAAACATGCATAACATATCACTAAAGTAGATTCACGATCTGCCACCTCAAGATTGTTTGTTAAAATTGTCTTATTCTGTTTATCATTTTTTGTTTCTCTGTTCTTCCTCATACATTGATAAGATCTTGTCAGAGAAGTCATGGAAACTCCAAAACGCAAGAAAACAATTCCTTATGAAGACTTTTGGAGGATCATCTTTGAGAAACTATGTAACAAAATTAAATACTTATTTCTACTCTGTTTTTTACACTAATAGGCTTGGCAAAAGAAAGAATAGAGTTTCATAGTCTCTGTTCTTTTAAGTTGAATTTAAGTTCTGAAATTCTAAAAGGTTTTGGCCGATATGATTCTTCATTACTCACTTTCCCGTTCAGTTTTGCTATTGATCCCTGGTTGATCACCAAGGCTACCAAAATTAGAGCAGCAAACAGCTGACGTTAAAATAGTTGTAATGACTATAAGCTAGTTTTTAGAGCAAATTTCACAGTATAGTTAAGAGATTCCAGACATATGGCTGACATTGAAAGCACCATGCAAAACAGAAAACACTTCTAATGTTGTGTCTACTTGCTAATTGCAGTCAGGCTTCCAAATTGTCTATCCAAAGATGCCTTATTCTTTTGTCTTTTTTCACTCATAATAATTGAATTTCAAGTATGAGAAAGGTTCTGTATTACGCATTTTCCCTAATATAGCCCTTTTCCTTTCTGTGTGTCCTTCAGCCATCTTTCAACCCTGTAAAGTGTTTCTATTAAACAATGAGTGGTATCATTCACATTTTCCAATTAAAAAGTCTGAAGACAAGCACCATAATCAGAGTGTCTTTTAAAAATCTCAATCAGATTACTAATAGTAGCTGGGTAAGAGGTTGTTTATTCATTTTGATGGTAACCTCTAGGCAATAGATGAAACCAACGTATGCTGAAATGATGCTAGCTTACTGCAATATGATACCAATGGGAAATTTCTAAATTACTTGATGTGCTGGATCTGGGGGAGAATTCCATAAAATATTTTATTCCATAATTCTGTATTCCAAATATAGTGCATACTATTCTTTCTAAAATTCAAAAACAATGGTTCAAAGATTAGCCTAGTAAAAATCTTGCAAACCCACAGCTTTTGTACATTAATGTGAGAGAGTGTGTTTTTGATTCTAAAAAGAAAGGACTGGAAAAATACATTGAAAATTTGCCCACTGATGTAAAATCCAATCACTGTGACGCACATAATTTTCATTATTGTGACACTGTTTTGTTTTTTTCATTTGGCCAACACTGAAAACTGAAATGGTGCTTCCAAATTCATTTGAAAACATTTCTCTGCTAAGCAGCTGATAATGTAATTTGGATAAGTAGTAAAGAAGCAGCACATGATTAAAGAAAAATAACAGAATGAAACCCAGCAGTGGAAAATTCCTTACAATAAATGTTTTTGAAGGTAAGAGGAATTTAAAGTGACAGGGAAGAATGCACAGAAACCAAGTAATAGATGGCATGTTATATGCTATTGAATATGGAATGGTGACATATACTGTATTATGTAGTGTTTGAAGAGTAATCTGCCGCTAATATTTGAAACATTTCTGATAAAAGCCAAATCTTTGAAATAAATGCGCCTAATCCCGAGGGATTACAATTTAGGAAGCTGAGATCAGATGTTGAATCAAACAAAACAGGAATTTCATTGATAAGATAGTATTCGAAGAGAATATAAACAGAGAGAAAAGTGCACAGATAAAAAGGAGGTGAGAGGACAAAGAATAGTAAGGAATAGATGCTATTTTTAAAAAGACTTGAGGGTAAGTAATGTGTTGTAACTGTAAGGACCGAACTCACCATCTGCTATTCAACTATTCCTGTTTGGATGTATCTTCACTGCCTTTGTGATCTCTATCCATATATATATATATATATATATACAGAACATATATATTCTGTAATCTAGCATTGTAAGTGGGAATGCCATTACCCCTGCTTTACCCCCAGGAATTTCTTTTGTGCAGAAGGATTCTGTTTTTACTAGCTTTGTGTCCAGTCTTAGAGCAGAGTAAGATAATCTGAATATCAATTTGATCTGGCACATCTCTTGCATGAACTAACACAGCACGTGGTAAAGCAACCAATGTCTCTTTTATTTGACTACATAAGTATACGAAAACAGCTGATTAATTAGTCCCTTTTTACCATGATCACCAAGCAGCACTTCAGGTGAGGTAAGTGGGGGCAGCTGGTTGCGCTAGCATCATTAAGGGAAGAAACAGTCATCTTTTGGAGGAGAGGAGAGAGCTTGAAAGGCGTTAACAATGTTTTGTTCAGCCTGTGTGGTTTGACAAGGTGGGAAGCAAACCGGTGACCTCGTTCTCCCATGAAGATAGAATAAGATAGGCAGCAAAACAGCCAGAGGATTGCTCAGCATTTCAGAGAGCAGGATGGAGGAGCAGGGTAATTAATTTTAATACAGGGTCATGGCTGCAAATCTTGGTTGTGCATTACCACTCTTGTGGGTTTGCCCTCTGGCTGGGGGCACGTGCTTCCACTTTTTATCTGTCTTCACACCAGTAAAATGTGACCAATGATACTTGTTCCTTTTGTAGGCATTTTCCAATGTTTAGTTCATTAATGCTTTTGAAGTATGCAAAAGCCCTGGAAGCATCACATACTTCTAATCCCGCTGTTCATATATTAGAAAGTCTGTTGTGTACAGTTATTACATTCACTGTACAGATGGTTAGTTTAGGCTGTAGTTAATTTCATAAATGCAGCGGTGTGAACATTTCCAAGCAATACATAGAGTAGAAGCTTTAAGCCAGATCTGTAGATTACTTGGAAATGGGCCTTGAGAGACTTCAAGTGCCTTCGTAGGGGAATGGAAAGGCAGACAGGCTGGCAGGTGGATAACTGCAGCCACAAAGGGAAAACATCAAGGGAGACTTGCATGCTATGTATCCTAGTACTAAATAATGTAGTTTTTGTTTAGTAAAAGCAAATGTCCACTCTTAAATCCACTGGTTTGTGTCTGAAAGTGCAGGCGTGTTGATGAATGGGAGAAAAATGAGGAGAATGTGACAGCAACCTGGTGTCTTCTTGCACATTAGCATTCAGTGCATTGACACTATGGAGGAATGAGTTGGGCCAAGTCAAGGTGAAGTGCATTGCTCTGAATATTTTTGTACTGCCTGTGACTTGAGGAATGCCAGATGGAGGTACAGGGCCACGGGGCAGAAAGCGAGTGCCAATGCATGCTCTTGTGGACACTTGTTACAGCGCAGGCTCCAAGACTGGTCTGTTTTCATTTGTTTCTCCTTCATCCCACCGTCTGCTTTTCTCCTCTTACATTCCTGAAGCTCTGACTGACCTTAGAGGGGCTGGAGGAAGGCAGTGCCAATGACGGACTGTTGAACCTGTGTCCCTGGCGACAGCTCTGCCTGTGGGTTGGAACCACCCGTGAGACAGGCAAATGGCCATGGGTTGTATCTTACTGTCATGGCAAGCCACATAAACAGGATGCATTTCTTTTGAGGGAGAGGCTTCTAGTTTTAATTACAATAAACTTTCTTTGTCTACTATACCAGACTTAGTGCACTGAATGCTGTATCCCAGGCTGTTCTCAGTCGTGCTATCTGCAATTCTTCAGACACTTTCAGCTGCAAGTTTTTCAGAGTGTTTGATTACAGGTTCTTAACTGCTGCTCATCTCCTGCTGATACTACACAAAACCTGCCAAAAGCCTTCTTTTGTAGATGGAGTTGAATCTGGATTACTTTCCAGACATTCTGTCAAGAAATTATACAGCACAGAAAGCAGCTTTTGTTTCCATGGCCATTCCAATACAGGCTTTTCTCTCCTTTTATCTGCATATGGTTTGTTTCTCTGAAAAAAAACTGGAATAATTCAAATGTAATTTCAAATGAGCATGCTTAAAAGATGAGAATAGATGCTTTATTTTACACACAGATCTCTGTGGTTCAGTGTGGCTAGGTGTTTCCTTTTGCTGTTGCTTAACATGAAGAATAGTTTGAAAAAAAAATAGGCTTATTTTTTCATAAAATTTGGCATTTATTTCATAATTGTTTCTTTATAAATAAAGGTATTGATCCTGTAGATTTGTTATTCAAGTCATATGCTTGAGCTAATTTAAATGGTAATGTTAATGTGAGTGGGATAATATCTCAACCTCATGCTGCTCACTAATCTGCAGCAACCAACATTTTTATCTCTTCTCTCTCCAGCACTGCAGTGATAACACTCACCATTGCCAATCAGATATGAATATCGTAGGTGCTTGGAAGAGAGGTTACACTGGAAAGAATGTTGTGGTGACCATCTTGGATGACGGCATTGAAAGAAACCATCCAGACTTGATGCAAAATTATGTGAGTGTCTGCAGTTTGATTTGCTGCTTTATTGTTAAGTTGAAGTAAATTTGGTTAAATTACTAGAAAGGTGGAGGGAGGAAGGGAGGGTGAGAGGGAGGGAAGGAGGAAAGAAGGAAAACATCTCATAAGAGGGTTTCCTCTTGATATGATAACACCATTAGGAGGAAAAAAGATGAATTTTGGTAATTTGTATTCCTTTAGTTTGAAAGTTTATTGAGTCTGAACGTCTTTAGTATCTGAATGCACCTTGTAACTTAGTGCTACATTTCTGAAGGACTGGAGTTAATAATCAGATGTTTTTTTCTCTTCTATAATAATTTTATCAAATATCTTAATACACTCAGAACTTAGGATCAGAATAACTGCTTTCCCCAGTTAACATGAGCAGCTGAAGTCCATTCTTGACCAATTCATTTAGCTAGGAAGACAGTAGCTCTTTCAAAGGCTGTAATGTTAGGCGAATCCTTCCATGTATTTATTTTCAAAGCTATTTATCTTACTGCTAGAAATAATATTAAAGGAAAAGGATATGACTCACTCAATTAAAAACAGGTGTAGAATATTTTGGAGTCTTTATAGTAAATCCCTCTAAATCTCAGTGAGCCTTCTCCCAGTTTGCTATAGGAGAAGATCTGTGTGCTTTTATTTTTATTCTTTTTTTTTTTTTTTTTCAAACTATGTCAGATATTTCGTGTCACATCAGAAGATTTCTGTTTGGTTATGGTTCATCATATTTAATGATTGTTTTAATATATTTCGGAAGGGTTGCATAATGCTAGGAGAAGCTGGTTCTTCAGTGTGGACTTCTTTTGTTACCTTCAGAGTTTAAAGCTGCTCGGTGTGTCAGGGCCATGCTTTGCTGGAATGGTTTTTCCTGAGCTTCAGAAATAGGCATTTACCTGAAAGCACTTGACCTTAGCAACCTTATTATTTCTCTCAAAAGAAGTGCATGAACAGTACGTTCACACAAAATAAGAAAAAGAAAATGTAGTTGGGTTAAGTACAATTGTTGAAGATGACTATTGCAAAGCAAGTAGGGTGGTAAGGCACTGGCACAGGCTGTGCAGAGAAGCCATGGATGTCCTATTCCTGGAGATGTTCAAGGTCAGGTTGGATGGGGCCCTGATCAGGTGGCAGACCTGCCTATGGCAGGGGGTTGGAACAAGATGATCATTAAGGTTCCTTCCAACCCGAGCCTTTTTTTCCCAAGTAGCATACCATCTTGAAAAACACTGACGAGATAAACATGACAATTACATCTTTAACAACCAATCTACAACCATGTTCATAGTTTAAATCCATTTATTTTAAATTAGCAGTCCTTACGTGTGTATCCTTCCTTACATTGCATGTGGAGCTCAGATCTGAAATACTTGGGTAGGACTGCATAAACAAAAATGAGAGCCCTTTGCCCTATTTGTCAGTATATAGTTGATCCTAATGCATGTCACATCTTTCCCTTTAATCTCTAAAGTTGTTTAAACAAACCAAGCATAACTTTATCCCTTCACTGAATGACCTAGATTGTATCATGTCTCATTTCATCCTAGTACTGTCCTTCCACTGAATTTAAAGCATCTATTTATTCCCTCCTCTCTCCTTTTCCTCTTGCCAAGAAGGAATTCCCCTAAAGCAGTACACATTGCTTGTTTGATGACAGATGCCTTCTATATGTCAGGTTATAGCTGGTGTGACTGCAAACAGGAATATTTGAGGTGGATGTGGTAACTGGTTTTGAAAAAAGAAGAGATTAGAAAGAACTGCTTACCATGTCAACACACTGCATGCTTCCACAGAGATTAATGGGAGCCATACAAACCAGCAGCTATGTACTCTATAAACTATTTTCAGCTGGAATAATCTTGGTAAAATTTGGAGCAAAAGTGTGCAGATATTGTAGCTGTAATTGAAACAGTTACAGTCCCAGACAAATGGGAATGCAATCTAAGTCACATATTAAGCTGTACTTTTTATAACAATATCCTTAAGAAACTTACGCTGTTCCCTGAAACTATGACTGAAATTTCGGTCATTACCTTGCAAAGAATTTTTATTGAATTGTGAAATGTTTAGCAAAATCTGAACTTTGAGAATGAACTCTCTCAAATTCCAAAAGATTCTTAGAAGGAGTATAGTCTTTTTGCTTAATGAAATGACGCTTTCTTCTCTACAAACAGAACTACATGTTTTCAGAGCATTCATATTCTTCCCTTTTCCAAAAATAAAGTCTGTAAATGGTGTAATTATTAAATATATAATCCTTTCCTTTAAAAAAAAAAAAGTGATCGTCATAGAACCACAGGAATGTTAGTTAACCTAACTACTCTCTTGTAGAAACCTGCTGAAGAATTTATAGGCCACATGACTCAATGGCTAATTAATGAGAAAATGGTTTTCTTTCTCCTGTTGGCTACAGGATTCACAAGCCAGTTTTGATGTCAATGGAAATGATTTTGACCCTATGCCTCGATACGATGCCAGCAACGAGAACAAGTAAGGCACTATGACACTTAGACATTTTCAGTTCTGTTCATCAAAGAAAGAATACCAGTTTTGCTCCAGAAGCCAAGGAAACTTGAACCCTAATAAAGCAGCGTGATTTGCATTTAAATATTTGTGAAATATGTATTTATTTCTCTTCCTTTCACACTGCATGACACTTGCTCTTTGAATGCATTTGGAGCAATCCAAAAACACATTAAAAATAGTTTGAGAATTCTGTGTGTGTGAAATGAACAATTTTCAATCCTTTTGGGATACAAAATATAAGCAGTGACTCTTAGCATTCTTATATTCCATCTCTCTGAGTTATTGGCAGGTTGTTGTGTGTGATAACTGTCTTGGCTTCTGACTTCCTTAGACTTCAGAGACTTTCTGTTTTGAAAGAATACGTAAGTTAGTAAGATTTTACTTTCTAATATAATCAGTCTTTTAACCTCATGGAGATTTTACGTGTAAAAGTTTGCTAGAAACTATATATAGCACTAATAGCAATTCTGGCTAGCTGTAATATCAGTGTTATATGACTGGCTGAATATATCTGCATGAGCGATGCATTTCTCCTTCAGAACTTAGCTTCCTGGTATTTGTCATTCTAACTCTGCTCTTCAGATTTTGAAGGCTAGGAGGGAAGATGGAAGGGACACCTCACCCTCAGGTGGCAGGCTTCCTTTCTGACCCAACGGGTATTTGAGGGCAGTTTTTTTTTTAACTGTGTATCTGGCATAAAAAAAATACCTTTATGTGGAATCACATGTATTAGAGAAATCCTGGTAGCTGTCAAAATGCTGTCTGAGCATATTGTTTTCTGAGATTTAGGTGTTTCTTAGTTCTGGAAAGCAGTTAATGCTACTTGCTTGCAAAAAACTGAATGCAAAAGGTGAAACTTTGTCTTTTACACAAATACTTTTGAATTTGTGTGTGGTTTTTTTCACTTTTTTTTTTTTTTTTTTTTTTTTCCTTTTTTTCCCCCTGCAATTCCATAAACTTTCTCCAGAAGAATGTAGCAGGTATTAAGTAACTCACTGAGAGTCAACAGAACATTTAGCATTAATATGACTGCAGGAACCAATTAGAGCAATCTTGGATCACACTTGGGTGGGAGAATGCCCATCTTCTCAATATAGAAGGGAAAATACATAAATATGGTGAAGAACAGGACCCTAATGTTTATAGCTACCTGTTATGTACAGACAGACTAATCTTAGAGCAAATCTCAAGGAGCTACTGTAGGTACTTTCTTAAGATGAAATAACCACAAAAACTTCATGTTATTCCTGATGAATATTTGTTTGCTCAGTCAGCATGATCCTTACCAGTTGGCTGAGATGTGAAATACATAAGAATTTAGCTCTTAAAAAAAAAAGCAAAAAAAAAAGCATGGAAATAAATATTCATATATGCATGACTAGAAATCCTGTTTAGCATAAAAAGTATTATGATGGTGTTAATTTGAATCATAATAAGAGTTTATTTGTTGGTGGCTTCAATCAGCATATGTTCTCACTCAGTTATTTGATTCTGTTTATTGCCAATTTTTTTTTATTTAGGAACAAGTACATACAAGAATTGTTTCTTCCCCTTTTGCCCATTAGGCATGTCTTTCTCATCCTGTTTTCACATAGAATCTCAGATTACTGAATCATATCTATCTCTTTTTCACTAGACATCTCCTGGAGCAAGAGTACCACAAGAGTATAAATAGATAAATTCAGTAACACCCTTTGCTTTCAAATATGTAAACATGCTGCACGTGCTGACTAGTTTAAGTTTATACAAGGAAGAAAATGTTGATGCGGAACAAATGGTAAAAAGACCCAGTGGCTGTATTGACTCACTTAGTGGCAAGCCAAGAATTTCAGAACCAGATGCTTGTAATGAAAATGCTAATACTACACTGAAGTTTTTAGGAGATATCCTCAAGACAAACGTTCATTGAAAAAGAGAAATGAAAAAAAAAAAAAGAATATCAATTCCTAATCTTTCCAAGTTCTTTTGGTTTATGTGTTTTGTTTTTTTTTTTCCCCACAGCTGAAGAATTTCATGTGCTGTTATTATTTTAGCTTAGGAGGTGACTTGCCATGAGTGCCAAAAGGCTAGAATCAGCAAATGTGCTATAAATTTTTGGTGGATAATAAAAGAAATCTTTGTTTTGGCATATGATAAATCTTAGAACTGCAGTCTAGATTTCTGAAAGCGTTAGTCACTTTCAAATGGAATAGTAACATACCACCATAAATTGTTTTTAGCCTGGAGCCTGTAGGCATTGCCAGTCAGCATGCTACAACAACTGATTTGTATGGCTAACTACTTCAGATGCACTTTGAACTAGATGCTTACATTTTATACCCATACTGAGCTTGGAAGAGTGAAAATAGTGACCTCCACTTCTTATCCCATGTTTTTCATTACTCCTCCCTTTCTCAAGCCATTGTGCAATTTACCAGAGTAAAGAATTAATCAGGCTGTGAACCGTGCTACCAGAACATCAACAACTAATTTCATTTTCAGCCAGTTTCTTTATTCAGCTCATCCCAAGGTCAGAGGAGAGCTAGACAGACGTGAGTGGGGAGAATGAAGGATGACCTGCACCTCTCACTGGTATGACCAGTTTCACTGAGATAAGGTGACAGTGCCCCAAGCACCCATGACTACTGTCTACAAAACTGAGAGTAATGTTGTCAGCAATAATTTCCAAGGAATTTTGAGGAAAGATGTGACAGTCAGCCTATCTCACAGCTGAGCTGCCAGTTTGCATCATATCCTCTGTCCTGCTGCCCTCATTCCCTAAAAACACACTCTGGGGACTCACCCTGTACATGATGATGCTTCTGTCCTTGGAGCTGGGACACAGTGATGGCATGCTCAGAGGCCTCCCATTTTAGGTGCACTGTCAGAATTTCAAGTCTTTTCAGTGCTGTGAGTGCTCTGCTTAGGTATTTCCGATTAGCAGATACACTTAGCCTGGAAAACAGTACCTAAGTACCTTCAATTCCTTCCCTAATTCTCTTTGGACTCAACAAGAATTACATATTGACATAGGCACTGATATCTAGAGCTCTATCAGAGCCCATCTAGGACTCCGTATTTTTAGATATCTGAATTCAGGACGGGAATTCTGATTATCCAATGCATTTGGGTCATTTGGCACACCTCAAGTTCTGCCTGGAAGGTGAGCTAACCACAACCAGGGAGCATTCTGAAAACCATATTTTGCAAAGATTTAGCAATGTGCATGATCAGTTCAGTTGATTAGCACATCCTGCTATAGAAACTGGATAATATTACATAATGGCCGATTGTGTCATTCAGTAAATATGGGAATGTAAAAATGGACTAATTTCATGAAATGATCTAGTGTACTCTGTTTCATGTTGTAACAACACTTTAAAGGATGGAATGATAAGGATTAGAAAAGAAATGCTGTAAGAAAAAAACAGGTGTCTCTGGACTGCTTTGGATGCATCTGTAAAATATCAAGGTCTGTTTGTTAGCTTTTCACTTTTAATAAGTGGTGAACACTTTCTGTTGCTTATTAATGGTGGAGAGAGTATAAGAAAAAAACTGAGGCCTTGTGAAGAGGCTGTTGATAAACAGAGTAGTGCTTTCCAGAATGATTTTCTTTAAGATTTAAATTAAATCTTTCTATTAGCTAAAGAGAATAGGAGACTATAAAGAAACATTAGATTAGTCTCTCAAGGCTTGTAGTCAAAATCAGGGTGGGTTGATAGTTTCTTTAACTACTATGGTATGTAGAAGTCCTGCCAGAGGTTTACTTTGGTTTCTACAAATTGGCAGCAAATCACAAAGCTTGTAAATAGTACAGGCCTATACTAGAACTTCCTTTTGCTCAGAGGCTAGAGACAGCAGTCAGCTGTGGATGAAGTTGTTACTGCTATGCAAAGCATCTTGTTTTGATATACTGCTAAGCACTGCTGCTTAATTCTTTTTCTGTTATTCTACAGATACCTGTAAATAATTGTGCATTGCTAATCACAGGTCCTTGATCAGAAAGCAGATGGACTCACTTAAATGTATTCTGCTCATTACATAGCTACATAAATTAAATACCTATTTATCTATATGTGTGTATATATATATGCATATATATATATGGGTATGCATGTATGTATGTATGTATTAATGTGCTTTGTTATTTTGGCCAAACTAGAATGTGTTTTCCATGAGAAATTTCTCATGATGGTAATTCAGAGCTTAAATCTGATTCTGCAGGCAGGTTTTTTTTTAAAACAGAACCTTTAAAAAAACTCTTTTAAATAATACCACTTGATTTTGATGCTGTTTTTATTAAGCATGGGTAGGAAAAATTAAAAGTAAGCGATCATTCCTGTTTTGTATATACCAGCTGACTGTTTTGAATGCCTCTTCAACATTTTTCAGTAATGCATCCCTTTACATAAAGAAGTTGTTTAAAAAACCTCCTCAGTTATCTTTTAATGAGACATCTGGGAGACAATAAGTTTTGCTTTTCAAAAGCCATAAAAATTGCACCTACTCCTTGATTTCTTCACTTTCAAAGTTTGCAGAACCTGGACAGCCTTATGTCTTACCATACAATAACAAAAAAGTTAATGAGTTAGTAAGTTTCAGTCCTGCTTGATTCAGCATCTTGGCATTATTTTTCAGTGGCAGATGAATACATCCATTCCAATTCGTTGTTACTTTTCTTTTGCCAGTCACATCAATGGATGTAGTTGCACAATAAAACGCCACAGGCTTAATTTTTTTCCAACAGTGGCATGCTGCTAGTTTGTACCAGCTACTTACGTCAGAGTCCTCTAGTATGTCCTAAGCCATTTAATCAGAATGGACATCAAATATTTGACAGGGAGATCACCTTCTGTTGTCTCCTTGATGGTCAATAAGCTAGAAGTAAAAAGCTTTATGGACTGCTGTGACACTATTCAGGACAGGTGTCTGAGAAACTGAGCACAGTCAAACACAGGAAGCATGAAGTCTGTCACTGCTGCCTA